CAAGCTGTGCAAGGTATCACAGTTTCTGGAAGTCACTTTAAAAGCTGGAAAATGCGGCTTCTAACTCACTTCTAATCATAAAGGAAAACACAGCAATAAGGAAGGCCATGTATTTAAAGACAGACATCCATTTCAATAGGAATAAATCCATTTCCTTTTTTCAAAAGGAAAAAAGAATAGGAAATAACACTGTGATGTGTCCACTTTTGCAAGATAGTTAATAAAATCATTTTTGTGTCTACTGTTACTAGCATAGGTGATGTTAGCCATGAAAGTACTTAATTTCCTCATAGATGCTCTGCCTGTGACATCAGTAATGTTACCCATGGATGGTGGTTTTATATTAAAGAACAAATCTCAAATCATGGTTCAGAAGCCAATGTTACATGTGCCAAGTCCACTCTGCCACAGGCAGATCTCTTGTCCTCTCTCCTGACGTGTTTTCTGTGAAATGAGGGTGATGCTATAGAATTATCATAGTGCTGCTGAGTGGAGTAATGGTTTTAATATACGTAAAATGCCCAGGATGGTGGGAGACGCCTGGAACATGGACCTAAGTGTCAATGCTAACTTGTATTACTATATTGGTGGGTTCTCACACATTCAGCCTAGGAAAACAGATGGAGGCTGAGTCAGGAGATGTACAATGATCACCCACATCTCTCAAAAGCAACTGACATGTGCACTCCTCAAGAATGAAGTCCACAGATGGCCCCAATCACCAGAGCTTTCTCCCTCGAAAAACAAATCTTAATTCGCACATTTTGGATCTCTCTTAAACACAGAATTCCATAAAGCTCTGTGCTATTTAATTCTCAAATGCTATCAATTCAGATAAAATACAAGATGCCAAGTTAAATTTGAATTTCAAATGGCAAATAAACATTTAATATAAATATGACCGATTTAAAACCTGGAATACACACATTAAAACAAAACAAAACAAAACTATCCATTGTTTACTAAAAATTCAAGTTTGAATGACTGTCTTGAATTTTTATTTGCTAACTTTATTAATAACCAAGAAATCCAGACAAACGTGCTAAATTGGCTAATCTTCATTTAAAAGAAAGAAGATACAGAATCTGTTTGAGTTAAATAAGCATCTTAAGAAACAGGATGGCCCATGGGAAAAACATGGATTTTGGAATGAGACAATATGAGCTTCGATTCACCATCCTCTGAGAATTTCTCATTGACTGACTTCCAACAAATTACTACATCATTAAATGTGGCTTAGCTTGCTGCTCTCCCCTTCCTTGATGCAGGATGGACAAAAACCCTGTCTCTCAGTTCCTCACGCTATGTGGGCTGAGGGAATTGAAATTTTCCATAGTGGTTATCAAAACCAAAGAACATAGCTTACCCCGCACTAGCTAGGCAGAGTTGGACTTCCTCCCTATACCGACATCAAATACCCCACCGCTGTCCACCTCACCGGCTCCCTTCTCCACTTCGATAGACACAGACATTCACCACCAACAGCTGGCAAAACATTTCAAAATTCCAAGAGCATAATATGTAACCAAAAGTCTTTGAAATTCAGACTGTGGTTTCATGTTTTTATTCTTTTTGAACTTAGCCACAGATGTATAAACAAATTTATTTCTAATTATTATGTGATACTAAATACAAAAAAAATGTATTTTCTTCATTTTAAAAATGGGCAAAATCCCATCGTTCATTAAATCAATACTTTTTTCTAAAGCACTATAAATGCACAAAGGAAAATTGTTTTCCAGTATGACTTGAGTGACGAGCTCTCCCTACTGTTTTAGAGTCAGACCACAAGGGGATTACTATCTAATGTTCATTTTACAAACTGCTTCCCTGACAATATGCTGCTCAGGCTTCCATTCAGTATACCTTATCTTTTCTTTACACACGGTGATTTCATTGAAGAAAAATTAACTAAATATTTTGGCAGTTTAACTGGTGGGAAGTAAAGAATTAAGATTGTAGATACAAAGGTGCTGTAATTGTGTTTTAATCAGCTTATTAAATATAACATGAACATGTATCAATCAACTCATATTTAATTTCATGGTCTATGATTCAAAACTTTTCAAATCCATAACAGTACAGAGCTATCAGCATTTACCTAACAACTCTTTTCCTATTTTTTTTTAATTCATGTAAACCATGTGAATACTGTATAACATATCCTTGTGGCCTGGAAGAAGACTTAATTATGAAAAAAAAAGACACTGCTTTTTAAAATGTACCTTGTCTTACCTACTAATACTAACTCACCCCCAAAGGAAAGAATTTGCACACACGTGTTCACCTAGGTATGCATGTATATATAAACACCATCAATTCTTTGCTAAGGGACAAATACAGGACTCGTTTAAAAATCTATTTCAAATATTTCTATTCCCAACAGACATAAATTCACTGATGAAACAAACTACTGAGTCAAAGCTTGTTTTAAATTGTTGCTGCAGAAATTGCAAACAACTTTCTATAAATCTCATTTAGAAAGTAAATTGCCTAATTGCACATTCATTTGGGAGTATTCTACAAAGATTTCCCATTACAGTCATATTTTGACTTAGAATACACATGCATATACTTCTCTGTTTTCTCCCTATTAAGACAGTGATTTTTCATGACCTGAATGCTTTCATTTTTCACAGGATAATTTAGGTTATCAATATTCTATTTTTGTTAAGGAACAGTGAAAATAACTCAAAAAGTCAGTGGGTTCTTTCCTATACCATTTTGCTTCATAGTAAAAATTGCTTTAGGTTTAATGGGTCTGTTTCTGACCACTATTTTTAACTCAAGTGGAGAAGGGCCTAAGGGTAAGGGTCATTAACATCTACTAAGACAAAAGATTCCACTATGGTTGCTAGGATACCAACAGACAGATTCATTTACTGCAGTCAGAAACAGTTTCTAAGGATGTCCTCTCACAAAACAACATACTACAGCAGAAGCCATAAGGCAAGCAGACAGGGATCGAAGCAATCCCTGCCCTCAAAGAGCTTAATACTGCTGCTACTCTCAAAAGTGCAAAGGACATTTTCAAGTCACTGTTTCTTAGAGGGATAGAAATAAGGAGATGCCAGAAAAGATGGGAGCTGATGCAGAACATGAGCTAAGCAACAAGCCAAGTGTTTGACCCTGACCTAGAGAGTCAGTTATTATTGTGATGATTTGTGAGCAGAACTGAAAGGATGGGTGCTAGGTGTCAGCTGCTGGACTAGCTGTTCCTCAAAGGGCAGTCTGTAAGACAAAGCCCTACCCCTTGGTGAGCTTAAACTCCGTGAGTAGGCTCACTACAAACTCTGTCCATTTCTACACGCATGTAGACGTGCAAGTGTGGGTATGAGTACGGTGTGCATCTGTGGTAAAGGAGTATGTAGACAGCTCGGAGAAGAGCTTACATGTTTACACTTATGGCATACCAGTACTAGGCTAAGAATAAGCAACCTTGATGAGGAGACCAGTGTTCTTTGTCATTTGGGTTTACTCGAGAGAGAAACCCAGGTGAACATGACATGAGGGATTTCAGTATGCTCGCTGCTTACATCACCTTGACAAGATGATAACACCTTTGCAGTGAGTGGTACCACCAACCTCTTCTAAGCATTAGCTGTTTGCAAAACACTCAGCCCCCTGCCTAGTAAACCACGTCTTTTAATATTACAGTCGAGTGCTTAAGTTACAGAGGAATAAGAAATGGAGCTGGTGGAACTGAGCAAAGAAGGAAGGGGAAATGGATGAAAAAGACTTCAGAAAAAAAACTTAAGAGAGAAAAGTGACGAACTGTGTTCAGACCGTAAGTTGTACTTACATCACAGAAAGGTGTCATAGGAAAGAGGACATCCAGTAAACTAGTAAAGAATGGAAGTAGATGAGGTGTGAGCACAAAAAAAAAAAAAAAAAAAAAAAAAAAAAAAAAAAAAAAAAAAAAATCCTTGAAAGTAACAGGTGAACTAGAAAGAACTAGGTTCTTGAGAAAGGTAAGAAACACACACTTAGTGAAGTCCTTGAAAAAGAAAAGTGTTTAGAAATACAACTTCAAGAAATACTGTACTAAATCCACTGGGCATTCACCCTATGCTGTGAATTCACCCCAGTAAGTATGCACATACACCAGTTTGTACGCACATCAAATCAGGTGCTCCACTAAAATTATAGCAATTTCCCCTTACCTTGGGGCTGGGGGGGGGAGGATCCCTGGCCTTAACAAATAAAAGCCTTCATGTGAAATAACAGTAATTACAATAATAGCAGCTATTTTTCTGTCACGCAGGATTCCTTTACATTTTATCCTGGGAAGATACCATCATCCTAATTCTACCGGATGAAAACCTTATCCACAGAGGGATGAAGTGACTTGCCTAAAGTCATCTTACTCTACTGGCCCAGGCTAGGGCTCAGACCCATCTACCAAAGCTCGCAAACCACTACTTACACTTCTCTGAGTTAAAGACGCAACTCTTCCAACAAGCACTCTGCCTTTGTGAAGCAGAGTTTACAGGTATAACGAGATTCTCTCATAAAGTATTTTTTAATGTTTTAGATTTATTTTACTTTATATGTATGAATGCTTTGCCTGCACGTCACAAGCATACCTCATACAAGCTGACATCAGAAGAGACTGAGGTATCTCCTGGGACTGGAATTACAATGGTTGTGAACCGCCTTGTGGGTTCTGGAATTGAATTTGGGTCCTGTACAAAAATTATAAGTGCTCTTAACTTATCACTTATCCCTCCAGCCAGCCCTCCCATGCAATATTTCACCAGAAGCAGAAAAAATAAACTACAGTACCCTGAAATGTTATGTCCCCCAAATCCTTCTTGTGTTTATTATTGTGTCCTGCTCTACAAAGCACTTCCTGGTAATGGCACATAAATTGATAAAATGAGAATATGATATAAGAATACATCGCTGTGAAGTCAGAGGTGTGAGCTCTACTGGACCCTCATTAGAGGACATGGGTGCTGGACAAGCTTGATGGAGCAATCAGGAAGAGCAGCTTTTACCTGGGTCGTTATGGGAATGAGGCACCACAAACACTTGAAGGGGCTCACTGTCCCACTCATCAGCCTCATACTTAATGTCAAATCCTTGCTTCCAAACTCCACCATCTGGGTTATCAAAAGGAATCAGCTCATAAACATCCAACATCTAAAAATAGGAAAGAAAAAAAGTTAAACTTTAACCACTGTTAACCTATACTTAAGGCTGGTCAATATTTGCTCAAAGATAGTCTTTGCTGGTTTTTTTTTTTTAATCAATGTGCAATCAAACAAAACTAATTATGTAAAAATCAATGGAAACTTTCAAGGCCAAAAAACATTTGCTCATCATCCAAAGGCCTGAAAGGCTAATTGTGCTATATAACTACCCTGATAAATGAGCCCTCCCCATCTGCTTCGGATAAATATGATTCCATTCATTTATTGGAATTCCTCTTTCTCTTGCTTTTAGTGCCAGTGTGATTAACAGGAAACCAGAAACACAACAAAAGATTTCTCTTGGAATTTGATTTTGAGCAAATATTTCAACATTTGCAAACATGTACTCAATGTGGCTTCTTACTTCATTTGGGGTGTCAGCTTCATAATCAGTCTGGTAGCTTCTAAATCTGTATCTGGCTGAAAACTCATGTGTATTTTCCTATCTGTCAAATGCTATATTTACCTTTTTATTCTAAAATACACATGGAATGAATTTTTTTTTAACCCTAGATTTAACTTTTAAGTTGCCAAAGGTGTTTCTATAGCCAGGTATAGTGTTATACACCTATAGTTCCAGCACAAAGCTGAGGCAGGAAGGTCGCCACACAGTGAGACCTCATTTCAAAAACCAAACAAATGTCTTCTAGCTTCCCAATGCATAATTCCTTGTAGATAATAATCCATTTGGACATAAGGGAAAAAACAGTATCCTACCCAAAACACAAACCTTTACTTTTATTCCTCATATTCTCTGTAATACTAAATGTACAACACAACCAAGAAAATTTAAATTGTTAAAATTCAACAGGCTATAAAAATTATATCTTAATATGAAAACATTACATATTATAATAAAAAAATAAGAATGTCAGAAAATTAAGTAACAGTGATCATGAAGTATTTCAAGACAATAACTACTGTTGTTGGTTGGTTTTGTTCTTTTACTCTTTGCCTCTTTTGGGGGCCCGCCACCCAGCTCCCAAGTAAATACATACAGAGACTTTTTTTTACTTATAAATGTCCTGCCTTAGCTTGGCTTGTTGTTAGTCAGCTTTGCTTACACTATCCCATCTACCTTTTGCCTCTGGGCTTTTTCCTTTTCTTACTTCTGTATATCTTACTTTCACTCTTACTCCGTGGCTGGCTGTGTAGCTGAGTGGCTGGCCCCTAGCATCCTCCTCTCCTTATTCTCTTGCTCTTTTCCTCTTCATTCTCCTAGATTTCTCCTTCTATTTACTCCCTCTGCCTGCCAGCACCGCCTATCCTTTCTCCTGCCTCACAATTGGCTGTTCAGTTCTTTATTAGACCAATCAGGTGTTTTAGATACGCAAAGTAGCACAGCTTCACAGAGTTAAACAAAGGCAACATAAAAGAGTGCATCACATCTTTGCATCATTAAAGCAAACGTTCCACAGCATAAACAAATGTAACACATCTTAAAATATTCTTCAAACTATCTCTTGCTATGGGACTCATGCCTTGAATGAATAAAACTGACTCCAAGAGCAAGCCTGGCAGTCTGTGGTGCACAGCTGGGCAGAGGGAAGCATCCACAGGAACTGCTAGTCCTCTCTTCAGCCCTACAATCAACATCCTCCTTCCTCACTCTTGCCACAGGAACAGGTGCTCTGCAACTCCAATATAAGCAGCCCACGTTCAGACCAAACAAACAAACAACAACAACAGCAACAAAAGGGCTTGCCCTTCCCATTCCCCTCCCACAGTGGACAGAGGTGGTCCTAAGAAGTACTCAGGAAGAAGCAAAATGAAGCCAAGCCCCAAGGAAATTGATAACCTGGAAAGCACAGAACTCTGATTCCATCTGGATCTGCCCATGTGCTAACTAATGAGGGTACATACAGGTACAGGGCCTGGCCAGCTGCACAGCCTCCAGCTTGTAAGCTTGCAGCTTGGCCTGTGAGCCATGGCCTCAAGATCATATCATGTCCTCCAGCTTGTAAGCTTGCAGCTTGGCCTGTGAGCCATGGCCTCGAGATCATATTATGTCCTCCAGCTTGTAAGCTTGCAGCTTGGCCTGTGAGTCATGGCCTCGAGATCATATTATGTCCTCCAGCTTGTAAGCTTGCAGCTTGGCCTGTGAGCCATGGCCTCGAGATCATATCATGTTCTACACCCTTCCAAGAATTGGTGGAAAGTGCCTCCTCTAAAGTCAGGCTAGAGGCCATCTAATTGCATACAACTTTTAAAACATTCACCCTTTAGGATCCTCCTATGGAGTTCACACTCCTGGTCCAAGGCACAAGGTTTAACATGGCCTCCTCTGCTAACTTGTATTTAATTATAGACTTTATCTAAGTTATCCATGGTATTATCAAACCAACATATAATTAATACAAAAATAAAGATACTTTATACACGAAGGCCAAAACACTCTGTTTCCATGACAAACTTCCAGAGTGTATCTCAAGTCAAAAGACCACATTGTGAGTGCTTGTAGCCATGTGTGGAGGGCACTCCCCGTAGTGGAAAGCACGGCTCTAGAATATTCCCTGCCATACCATAGGATCTTACCTCCAAATATCTACTCTGGTGTTGTGCAGAGCAACAAGGGAATACACTTGTTTTCTCCAAAAGAAGGTAAAAATATCACTTAGGCAAAAACAAAACCTCTAAAGATTTTTCCCACCACTCCAGAAGATAAAGACGGTAAAGCAGGAAAAATGGCAGTGCTCAGAAGAAAAACAGAACCACGGGAGTAGTGAGTGATATCACTAACAAAGAAAAATCATGGTGAGAAAAGGGAAATCATGGCAACAGCAGAAACTGGAGCCCGGAACTCAAAAACGTACAGAATACGAACAGACACAAGAGCAAATCTGAAGCCAAGCGAAAGGGCCGCTGGTTACCAGCCGCTCTCCACTACCTGCACATCCCGACGCTGACTTCCGCTCTGGGAGGCAAAGAGACAGTCTTTGGGGTCAACCTGCAGGGCGGACTGTGAGGAGAGGAGGTGTGCCGAGCCTTGGCTGCCATTGCCCGGGGAACCTTTCGGACCGTCCTCCACAGACTCGCTCAGGTTGATGACCGAGTCTCTGATATTTGAGATGATCTCGTTGTTTTCCGCCAGCAAACGCTCCAGATGGTCTATCTTCTCTTGCAATATCGAAAGCTGGCCCTGGAATCAAAGGAAGGGGGGGCCATAAGAACCACGACTGTGGCACCGCTAAGGCGCACAGAGGGCAGCCACCCACCCTCCCCACTTGTCTGTGCGGCTTCCCGAAGCACAACAGAGGGGCAGCTGCGACTGAAATGCCATTCTGTGGCATCAAACCTTTCCACGGCCGCCATCTTTATCTAATCATGCTTTTTTTTTTTTTTCTCGAACTCACAGAGATCCGCCTGCCTCTGCCTCCCGAGTGCTGGGATTAAAGGCGTGCGCCACCACCGCCCAGCTCCTTTTTTTTTTTAAGTACAAGAGAATAACCAAGATATTTAAAGGATTGTTTCCTATTCCCCCCAAATCCAGGCCTAAGTGGTCTGTGGGTCTCCAGAATCACTAATGCTGATACATGTTATATTCCAGAGAGAGATTTTAAATTTAAAGAAAATAGACTGCAGTTAATTTGCCAGGTCAGAAAAAAAAAAAAAAACACAGAAACTGAACAAAAATACTCCACCTCAGCCTGTTAACAAATACTGGACAATGCAAAGAAAAATCAATTCATCAACTCTAACTGCCATAGACTCAAGCATGCCCTAATGTGTCATTGGGAGTGCTTTTATTTCTCTGGGTGACATTCAGGGCATGTTGTCGTTGTTAATTGATCCCCACATTTAGAGGTCTGACATCCTAATAACCTTGTTTTACAGAACACTGCAGCAGGAAGAACCATCTCTGACTTGTTCAACCCTGTGTGCTCAGTTCCAAGTATAGGAAAGATAGGCATGCACTTGTCCCATTTCTGAACAGCAGCTCTGAACTGAAAGCCCAGGGTTGGGCACAATGCCCACAGTGGGATGACAAAAATGCTTAAGATATATACTGATGACTTTGAATATATAAGACGACAGTGTAAGCAACACACACACACACACACACACACACACACACGCACATACAGACATAAACACATACACACACACACACACCAACACACATATGCACATGCCTGCATACCAGGTCCCAAAAAGCTCATCTTAGGGTTTAAAAAAATAATTATCACCAGGAGGTGGTGGCGCACACCTTTAATCCCAGCACTCAGGAGGCAGAGGGAGGCAGATCTCTGTGAGTGCAAGGCCAGCCTGGTCTACAGAGGGAGATCCAGGAAAGGTGCAAAGCTACACAGAGAAACCCTGTCTCAAAAAACCAGAAAAAAAAAGAAAAGAAAAAAATTATCTGCATGGTGAACGATTAACTTCCATTATCAGGAAGGCAAAAAGGAAAAAAAGAAAGAGGGGAAAGAAACAAACAAACACCTAAGTGTTCAAAAGTAGATCATCACAGGGTAGATCCAACCATGGATTAGACTTTAGCCACCAAAAATTGAAAAAGAAAAAACACTTCTTAATTTTAATTTTATTATATGCCTGAGTGTTTTGCCTGTGTGTGCCAAGTGCTTTGAGAGGCCCGAAGATGGCATAAGATCCCCTAGAATTAAAGTTATAGACAGTTGTGACCTGTCATATATGTGCTAGGAATTGAATGCAGGTCCTCTGGAAGAGCAGCCAGTGTTCTCAAACACTGGGCCATCTCTTCACCCTAACCAAAAAAATAAAAAAATAAAAAAATAAAAAATAATAGAAATATAAGGATGATTATTTCCAGGAAAGTATCGAAATGTGTTATAAAAAAGCAATAATACCCAGGGTGTGCCACCAAGCTTGGTGAACCAATCCAAGCCCCAGGACCCAAATGGCAGAAGGAGAAAATTCAACTCCTGGAACTTGTTCTCTGACTTACACAAGCACACAAATAAATACAGTATTTAAAAAAAGTAGAGAGAGGAGGCAGAGGCAGGGGGATATCTGTGACTTCAAGGTGAGTTTGGTCTACCTACTAAGTTCTAGACCAGCAAGAGCTACAAAGTGAGATCCTGTCTAAAGAAAAAAAGAAAAGAAAAAAGGAATGAAGAGACACTGTAGGAAGCTGAGACTTGCAAAGGTGTAATTTTTTTGCCCCAATATGAAGCACATGCAGGAGGAAAAGCTGGTGCACTGGGTGTGGTGTGGCATGCCTCTAGCACCAGTGTGGGGAAGAAAAGATGCAGAATTATAGTTATCTGATACTATGGGTTTGAACATAGTGTGGGAGACTAAAGAACCAAGTACATTCTGTAAGTCGGAAAGCTATGTGATGTTTCAAATAAGATGAACACTCAGAAGCTATCTACTGTTGTAGCTCCAAGTCCAATCCCAAAAAAAGTAAAAATGCTTAGGAGTCAAATGCATGGCATCTCCATCCATACCTTCCTAAACATTGTGTGGAGCAAATGAAGACATTTCTTCATGCATTATCACAGTACAACAGACTGGAGCTGCTTCCTCAAATTGCTGTGACTCATCCTGCTGAGCTCCAGGATTGAAAACAATCATCCCTCCAATGGGACCTTCTCACCACAGAGGTCACAGTCAAGCAAGTTCCCATCCTGTGCAGAATCAGAACTTCAGATTTGCCTCACATAGCTCCCTAAAATGAAGCTTTAGTGTTCTCTCAGAACTTTTAAAGATACTATGTGTGGGTGCCAGATTTTAATATATCCTTCCAGAGCTACCTGTGCTGGGCGATGGAGTCGCTTTGGACCCTTGTACATAGTCAAGCTGCCTGGAGCTTAACAAGCACAATGAGAAAGAAAAAGAGCAGCCTTGGGAAAGCTTCTGCTATGAGGCCTTGCTCCCAAACCTGCGTATTACCCAATGTAAACATTACCACAGATGTTTCCGGAAGAGGGAAGCCAACAGACATTACAGAGGACTTTCACTTTCATTGTAACTCTAAAGATACAATTAATGACCAGTGCCCAGGATTCGATATTGAATTAAGTACATGCAGAAAAGTATGACCTGAGGCAATATCAGCATTAATGGTCTAATGAAAACCATTTTTAAAGTATATTACGCACTGGAATAAAGTCTCCTTCCAAGCAGCCAAAATCCTTAAAATATATACCTCATGAGCAAATTCCATCCACATGGCTGAGGGGAGTGGCATGACCTTAAAGGGATGTACTCACAGTGTGCATTAAAGAAATAGAAACGATAGATAATGTTTCAATTATGCTGACAGGTCAAAGAATACGGAGAGTAATATTGAAAATGACAGTTTTCTGTAGGGCAAGAAAATCACTTGTGAGAAAAGCACGTTCTCCTTTGATTTGCTAATCAGTTCTATAGGGAGGCATCGTCAGTGCTGAACTGCCGAGGAGCAGGGAAGAAGGTCATATTTGATTTTCTCTGCTAGTGGTGAGAGAAAAGCTGAGTGAAAAAAATCACACATATCCAAGACACAGGGCAGAGCTAATTCAGAGTCTACAACAAGGTAGACCAGTAGACCAGGATCAGTGCCCACTCGATCCTATGAACAAAGTCATGACTGCACCCACGGCTGAATCTGAATATACTAAGTCATGCTCTGCCCCAGGGAGGACACCAGCTGCTGGAGACTGGTTACTGGGACCGCTCAAGCACAGCTGATGGGACGCCTTCTTCCTTCAGTTACATCTGGAAACACAGCTCTTTCTCTCTACCACCCCAAAGGGCTCATATTCAGAGGCCACGGCCCTGCTGACTTCCATCTCTGTCAGCTGCTCAGAGGTTTCCTCTCGGTGCTGCTGCATCAACTCCCCTTCCAAAGCAACCCATTCCCAGTGGTGCAGCTGTCTGTCCTCCAACACCAAGTTACACGTACACGAATACCATATGACTATGGTACAACATAGTTCAATTATTTTTTTTTTTTTTTTTTGGTTTTTCGAGACAGGGTTTCTCTGTGTAGCTTTGCGCCTCTCCTGGAACCCACTTGGTAGCCCAGGCTGGCCTCGAACTCACAGAGATCCGCCTGGCTCTGCCTCCCGAGTGCTGGGATTAAAGGCGTGCGCCACCACCGCCCGGCTCCATTTTTTAACTTTAAATTAATTTATTTTTATGTGTATGGGTTTTTTTGACTAAGTGTATGTCTCTGCACCACACGTGTATAATGTCCCAGGAGGGTGGAAGGGGGTATCAGATCCCCTGGAACTGGAGGTATAGACAGTTGAGTCACCATGTGGGTGCTGGGAAAAGAACCTAGGTCCTCTAGAAGAACAGCCAGTGCACTTAACTGATGAGCTGTCTGTCCAGTCCCACTAACCTACCTTTTCAAAAGTCAGCCACACCCCTATGCTTCCCTTAACTATGAGAGATGGCTGACTGGGATGTCATCGAGCTAGACTGCAGGATCTTGAAAAGGGATAAAGTACAACCACCATCAGTGCTGGGCCCCTTGCTGCTGCTAATCAGTGCTGGGCTCCCTCGCTTCTTCTGTTTAAAGGAAAAATCCAGGCAACGAAGCCCTGAATAGCATTGGTCCTAGAGGAGGACATTTCTAGAGGACATTTCTAGAGAACCTTGGGCCAGTGGACTGAGTAGGGAAGATCTGATCTCAAATGGACCAGCATCATCTGTCACCAAGGGCTTGTTGGGGGCAAAAATGCAGTCTGGCCACATTCTTGCTTTGCCTTCTAGACAACTCCAGGTTCTTCAAGCCTCTTATCTCAACTCTGCCACAGAATCCAAGCTCTCGGCCTGAGTGTGACACCAAGAACTTCCCAGGGCCAGGGCCTGTGGACTTGGAGGGAGCCAGAAAAAGAGTTTTTCTGTGGCTCTGTCATCTGCAGACAGCTCAGGCTTCATGGACACATGGAGACTATCAAGGCCTGTGCTCATCTGCTCCTTTTGCCTTACTATCCTCAGATCACTTACAGGTCCATTGCATCAGTTCCTGTCCATCTCACTAAACTGGCCACATAAATTCCCCAGGTGCACATACTTCCAGCCTTTTGCAAAGCATGCTGGGACCTCATCCTCCCCAGGAGCACACACACATAGCCGAGCACCCTTCATCCTGGAAACTGCCATCACTAATTTGATTTACGGTACAGTGTGTCCTTGGCTTTCTTCCTGTGGCCTACTAATCAGTGT